TGGGATAAATCATTTCAGATCTGCATACTGCTGACCACACAGTGACAGCAGAGGCACATCTTGAAAAGGACATTTTTTTTCTTTTTTGTTCTTTTCTTCTCTCTTTTTCTTGTTCATTCTTCTCTTTTCTTGTTCCTGTTTTGTTTTATTCTTGTTATTTCTATAAGAGCATGAATACAGTCTCTCGTTTTCCTGTTGCCATGTTTGTTCTTTCCATTTTCTCTTTTCCTCCTGTCTCTACCATTTTCCCAAAGTTTACATGATCTTCATGTGCCCTCTAGCTCTACTTCTAGCCTTTCCCTCTCCTTCTATTTTTCTAACCATTCCCCACCTCCCTCTAAGTCTTCTTCCTAGAAGGTAAATTCGCTATACTGAAAGCTTAGTTACTGCAAATATATTTATGGTTGGTCTTTGATTTTGGTATATAACCACAAGTCTACTTCGTGCAGTTAAAGGTGACAGATTAATAGTTACCATAATTTGGCATTTTCTAAACTGTGTTTGATGCTGTTGTTGATGCTGATTGAACTACTTTGGACAAGGTAATGTGATTGTTCTAGTCAGCTGTCCTTCCTGGTACACCAAAGCTGAGACTGCCTAAGGGTGATTACACTCAAAACCCAAAGACATGCTATACCCAGAAGACACATTTGAGGAGCAGTCATTCCCTAAGGGTTCTAAATACTAGTAATAAAGATACTCGCATTAAGCAATATACAAGTACCAACCCAGGAATTAAACCAAAAACATCAACAACAACAAAAATAAAAATAAGACATTTAAACAAGACCCAAACCCAAACTTCCAGCTCACCAAAGACAAATTCAGGGGCAACAAGGTGGAACAATCTGAAAGTCAACAATCTGGACTGCCTGAATTGGTAACAAAGGAAGAAATAAAACAGATAAAAAAGGCTCTGGAAAAAATAAAATCAGAAATAATTTCATGGGGCCAGGGATTTAGCTCAGTGGTTCCACCACCTGCCTTTCAAATGCAAGTTCCTGAGTTCGATCCCTAGTACCACATACACACACACACACACACACACACACACACACACACACACGCACACACACACACAGAAATAATTTCCCAGATAACTAAAGAATGGTGCGCAGAATGAAAGATATGCTTACTCTAGAACAGATACAGATAAAAAAATAAAGGAGCTCAGAAACATGATGAAAACCATGAACACCCAGCATAGGAAAGAAATGGAAACCATAAATGCCCAGCATAGGAAAGAAATGGAATCCACAAAATAGATTCAAACATATTCAGGAGATTAAAAACTCCATGGAAAGTACATGCAGCAGAATGAGTCAATGTGAGGACAGAATTTCAGATAGAGAAGACAGGATTAAAGTTAGTGATCATGAAAAAAATAGTTTTTAAAAATAGCAAGGGATTATGAGAAATCAATCCAGTAACTACTAGGATGGTGCAAACAAGAATAATATGATTGATCGGAGTCAATGAAAAAGCAGGAGAGAACAGAAATGACATTAAAAAACCTGTTCACAGAAGTAATGGTAGAAAACTTCCCAAACAGGAGAAAAGAATTTGATATACAGATAAGTGAGTCATACAGGACTCCATCTAGCTGTGACAAAAAAAAAAAAAAAATCTCTGAGGAATATAATAGTCAAGATTCCAGAAATCCAACAGAAGAACAAAAGCAGCATTCCAAATAATTCTAAACAATATCCTAGAAAAAGACAATGAGAAATACAGCTCTGTGAATCCCAACAGAACAAAGCCATGAGGCAAGGCAAGAAATTAAATGGAAAGGGGGAAAAATAAAAAAAAATAAGAGCCAACAACAGGAAAATATCATGCCAATGATAAGTCAATACATATCAGTTATGACCATCAATGTTAATGGCTTCAATTCACCAAAAATGTATAGCAAATGTAAGGTAAAGGAATGCCTCCATTAATATATTTATATTACAATATAAACAGTGTAGAACACAGGCCAAAATAATGCTATTGTTAATTAAAAATCAACAGACAGTAAGTATGAATTAATATTGGGATAGTTACTTTAATGAGCCCATTAAAGAAGCTTATTGCTAGGTAAAATTTGGCAAAAATAAAGGGATATGAGTATGCTGCCATTGAGGTGAGTACTTTCACTGTACAAGACCTCACTTTTCAGTCGGCTAGAATTCAGCTCAAGCCTCCTAGATACCACATGGATAATCCCCACAGAGTAAGTCATGGTTTATTCATAAGTGTTGATTTGTATTGTTTACAGCTTCCAGTACTTTAGTCCTCTGTTTAAAAAAAAAGTAACTATTCATTATTGTTTCTACAACAATTAATTTTTCTGCATTTTATGAAACATCTCTGAGAAAAAATGGCAACATGTACCTAAAACAAAGCTAAAATTAATGTCACTACAAAGATATACAAAACATATTTCCTCCCCAAAATGATAAATCAAGAACTGAAATAACCCTATTATGTTCCTAGACGAACTAAACTATGTTATATCAATCATTCTCATTTTTCTTTTTCTTTTCCTTTCTGGGAGGGGCAGTTTGCTGGGACTTGAACCTAGGGGCTATCACTAAGTTATACCCTCACTTATTAAGTATATTTGATAATCTAAAAGAATAAAAAATTGAGATTATATATATAAAAATTTCACCAAAACTGCTGAATATTATTTAAATTTTATCTCATATATGGCAGTGTTGTAATTATTACCTATGTACTTTAAAATTGTCATATATAAAGTCATTTCATCTGCTTAAAAGTATTAAATAATTTAGTCTTTATCTAAAATCCAATCCCTAAACAACCTCTGAAGGGAGAAAAGAAGATGACATGCCAAATGAGGAGTAAAATAAGAGTTTTAATGCTAAGGAGAACCATCTGGCTAGTCTGGAAATCTGCTTTTGAGTGTAAAATTTTTTCAACAATCATCAATTAATTAATCTCATAAGTATTCTAGGTTTAAAATAAAAGTGCAAGTGTTAGATAGCTCCCTCTAGGAAGCTTTCTCTCATTCCAGTTAAATCCCAGGACCCAGTAACTGTGCATCTGACACAGATGACATACTTTACACTTAGCAGAGCTTTTGTAGCAGCTTACTTTCCCCAGTAGATTATAAACCCTTTGAAGGTAGAACTACGTTTAATTCTGACTTATACGATACCAACAGCTACCAGAGTACCTGCACAGAAACTAAATAAATTGTGTAATTTATAAATGTCCTCAGATACTATGTCCTGAATTTACATTTTTAGGCTTTCCAAAACAAATTACATAGGTACTTATTTCTCTTCCTCTTTCTCAGTATTTCCTATTTTACTTCTTTACATTTTTAGTCTTTCCAAAACAAATCATGTATTTTTCTTCCTACTTCTCAGTACTTCCTCTTTTACCTCTTTTGTTCACTTCTTTCCCTTTCCCCTGAGGTAATTTGTTTTATTTATTCATTCAAAATAATCCAATAAACATTTGTCAAGAACCTGCTATGTGCCAGGTAGTATGTTGTGTACTGAGGTTACACCAGTCAACATGCTCCTTAGGCAGCTAAAAGAGTGGTGGCAACAGACAGCCAGAACAATGTGATAAACATTTCAATAGGTGTGAATATGTGAGACTATGTTAAAAAAAAACATTTAAAAGTGGTCCTCCAAATTTTTGTTATCAGTTTATCAATTTCTCTATATTATTTTTAACCTGGTCATCTAGTTTTAATTATTAAATGGGTACATAAACCTGCCAAATACATGTCTGAAAAGTCACAGAATATATGACTGAAAAGCAGTCTTCCTTCTACTCTATACCCAGCCATTGTTTATGTTTCCAAAGGGAAGATTTAATATCCTGTGCGTAATTACAGAGACATTCGGTGCATACACTAACATACATACATATATATGCACATGTGCGTGTCCTTATTTTCCTCTAATACAATGAGAGCTCACTTCACACTAGGTACCTTGCTCTGTTCACTTCAGTATCAGCACGGACCGGAATATCATCCTCCTCTCAGTGGATACCGCCTCAGATATCTGAACGTAAGTACCCAGTTCTGCATGCCTGGGTTGTTATCCTACTAAAGTTCTTCTTGCCCTACGTTCAACTACCAGTGATTCTCTGATCCTCTCTGCCTGAAATATGTTCTTAAATCAGATTCCCTGGTAGAAACTCATTAAGCCTACTTTAAATACTAGGTTGTTCATAAAACATTTTCTTTTGTGAATTTATAGCACTTAGGTGTTAAGACATTCTAATTTACAATGCACTTAGAAGGAAAATTATAATCTCCTTCATAATAATGACTATGCCTTAACACATTTCGATAAATCCCTACCACCTAGGCACTCAAAAGGTGTTCACCAAATAAAGACAATTTTTGCTTGCCCTGAGTGAATGTCTATGGTGTTGGGGATGACCCAAGGAGCACTGAGCTGTATTCCAGTCCTCATCACCCCTTTTTTTTTTGGAGACAGGGTCTTGTTAAATTGCTCAGCCTAGCCTCAAACTTGTGATCCTCCATCCTTAGCTTTCTGAGTAGCTGGGATATCGAGTGTGTGCTACCATGCCCAGATACTGTAGCTACTATATAGGAGAAAACTCAACCACAATGTACCTATGAATTGAGTTTAAAACAGGTGAAAGAACTTTTTACAAATTTTACAGAAAATGTACTTGAGGAAAAGCTTCATAAAACATAAAGCCTTGTGGTTTTTGTGTTTTCAAAATTTAGTAACATGATTTCAAAAATCATACTTGTGATAAAACTTTTTAATTTAAAAATACAGGAAAAAGGAGAATATATTATGCTTTCCAGTATATAAAAGTAGTTACATAAAAATAATCATGACAATTCATTATAAATTGTTCAGCTCTCATCTATACAATAGCTAGAAGAGATATACAAATTCTTATTCAGTAGAGAACTGTTATAATTTGTTTGTTAAGTAATATTTTTAATGAAAATATCACCATGCAAATATTCAATTTACTTCTTGACTCACCTCTCCCCCATTAACATATTCCATCACAAAACACAAACGGTCTTTTGTCTGGAAGGAATATTTCAAGGACTTGAAATGAAAAAGAAAAAAATGATGTATTATAATCCTACATTCTTATCATTTAAATAGCATCAAAAATAGAATACTTAAAATAGTATGATTGATGAAACAAATTGTTATTGTTTCTTCAAGTCTATCTGCTTCTTAAGAATGCCTAAGTGAGAGTTTATACGAAATGTAAAAATATTGTTCAGCATGGCAATAGGTTTTGCTAGAAGATAATTAAACTCATAAGTAAATATCAACTTAGTAAATGCAATGAACACTTCTCCATCTATTGTGGCATACAACTGAAATTATGCTGCTCTTCAAAGTTCTCATCTGTGCAGCCTTACAGTACCGCCTACACAGGACACTAGTGAACATCCTTAGGAATACAGTTATATTTGTTATGTTCAAGTTTCTAATATAGTTTCAAGTATCTTTCTACATAATGGGTATGTCATATGACCCAAATTAACAAAGCTGGTTCATATAATTTTATATATTACAAAGATATCACAAAGTTATCTTATTATGCTGGACAACAAACATATGACAATATAAGTCTGGGTATCTAGTAACAGTTTTGAAAATATCTACTTTAGATAATCCTAAAACTTTAACAAAAAGTTCTAATTTTGAAAGTTTAGCTGTCATTTTTAATCTCAATATACTTGACCAGAGTCAGAAACATGGAGAATCTTCATAAATTATCTCTGTTACAAGGAACTAATAATAGACTAAAAAATAAGTTTGTTTTGAAATAATCACATTATGTGTATGAAAGTCAGTAAATACTTTATCTATTGAAGAAAATACAATAGGACTTAACCAATGTTCAGTAAATTGAGGATATTCCTGTATTTTTTAAAGTAGTCTATCTCCAAAAGAAGCCCTTCTACCAAATAGTCAATTAAAATCTCTGCCTTTCATATTTGAAAACAATAGCTCTGCCTGATCATTTCAATATGTGTATCTGAATGCAATAAAGAAAGATAAAATCTATATTACATATTAAAAAATAATTGCATATTTAAAAACCTATTAAAAAACGTCTTTGTTAACTCTCTAAAATGCCGGAGATGATCTATTTGATCTACAGTTATTTTTTAATGGCAAGGAGAGTCAACAGAGGGAAAAAAAGGTTTCAAAAAGCAGCTATGGTAGCAGGAAGTATTATAAATGCATACATACTATAAATTTAATCCATACATTCTAACAATTTAAAAAAATTTTTCACTCATGATCTTTCCACAAAGAAAATGGCAAACCTAAATAAAGGTTATTTAAAATGTTATTTTTCATAGTTTCACTTCTATAACAAAATTCCTTTAACTTTAAAATGTTCTGACTATAACATCTTATAGTCACTTACTGTTAAAAATGGATGTCTAGTGTTCTTTAATACTCTGCTTTCAGTTAGAGTGTGTGCCACCTCATCCTATGAAAGAAAAAGGAACCCATTAAAATACAGTTTAAGCACTGATATAATAAAAATTACACCACTTATGCTTGATATATCAATAATGACATGAAAATTGGCACCAAAAATCTATCAGAAATAAAGAAAACTGAATAGTACACATTTTCCCTCAAAGAAAAACACTTAGCTAATATGTTAGCATAAGGTAGTTAATATTTTCATATTTGTAAATTTTATTCAGGGAGACATAAAAATGTATGTCAGTAAATATCATAGTATTTTCAAATCTCCTATTTAAAATCAGTTATTAAAATGGGAACATAGACTACATATGAAAGTTTTAATTCTAAATTACGCGTTTTAGAAATAGAAAGTACCAGAATATAAAAGTGTACTTTTTCCTTGTAGACTTTTATAATACTTTCTTAAAGTTGCAGTCCTTCTACTATAGGTTTACTAAAATTTCTAAAAAAATTTTAATGAGCATGTATTTCAAAACAAAAATACACTAAAGAACATTTTTCTCTAATTTTGTTCATAAACCTCATTTTGACATCAAAAGTGAACTAGGGGAGATTTTCTTCAACATACAGAGAACAGGAAAGATGTTTTATATTTCAAAAATAACAGTATCTTAAAGTAGGAAGAAAAGAAAGATAAGGGCTGAAAAACTAACAGCATCCTTGTTCTCTGCTTCTGACAAGATCCAAACAAAGCCCTTGCCGATCAACTTAACACTGTGAACAAACCAAAAGTACGTTATAAGGAAAGATGGGAGAGGAAAAAACATCAGGACACTGAATTTATTATCTTTACAAAAGCATTTGTCCTTGGTTAGACCTAAAAGACAAATGAGAAACAAACTGATCTGAAAGTTATTCCAGGAGAGTGAGAAAATTATGTCTGCACGGAAAGCAAAATGTAATTAACAATGCAGTATTTAAAAACCAGAGGAGTCAAGAATAAGCAAAAAATCACCCTAGTCCTAACTTATTTTATATGAGCCAGCTTAATGTTTCTTAAATTGTATTTATTGGTACATTTTAGGGATACAGTACAGTTATATTCATTATTGGGATCTTGTACCTCTACATGACAGGTCTTGGTTCTCATTTTTTCCCCTTGACCCTGACCTCCCTTCACCCCCTCCTTCCCTCCCCATTTACAAACACTTTATTTCCATCTTTTCATTTTCTCACATTTTTTTCTTTTTAAGCCAGGTTAATTAAGGGCTCAAAAATTTTGAGAATCACTCATATATCATACTGTGATTCTAAAAATAACTATAATATTTTAATATACAATAAATCAAAGCAGAAATGACACAAGAACTCACAGACTTCTATATCCACACCACCTAGCATAATGGTTAACATTCAACAGATTCCTAATAACTGTTGGCCTGCTTTTTGTAGGAATGAATTCAAAGGTGTCACATCTGTGTGACCTCATTCATTCATCTATCCACTATTTCAACAAATATGAAAAACATAAGTTTTAAGTCTTGTTCTATATACTGGAGACAGGGCACTGAACAAACAAAGGTTCTTGCTCACATGGAGCTTTCGTTTTAATTAGATGGTGATATTAAAGGAAAAACAAAGCAGAGAAGTGCATACTCTGGCTAATTAGAATCAAACAGTGAATATGCAATACATAATTATGCTTTATGAAAGTGCTATTTTGCGATACACAGGACTAAGTCCATTCATCATTGAAGATATACTCCTAAGTGAAATAAATAAGTCACACATGTGTAAATACCAAATAGTTTTCCTGGTGTGAATATTCTGCAACAATGCATAAGATTCTAATAAGATTACTGACATTTAGAAATTTGAAGAAAGGAGCTAAAGGTGTAGGGAAGGTGTGATGCGTAAGGGAAGAACAAAAAGGGAAAAGAAAAAAGTGTGAGAGAATGAAAAGATGAAAATAAAGTGTTTGTAGATGGGGAGGGGAGGAGGGGGTGAAGGGAGGGCAGAGGTAAGGGGAAAAAATGAGAATCAAGACTTGTCATGTAGAGGTACAAGATCCCAACAATGAATGTAACTGTACTGTATCCCTAAAATGTACCAATAAACTCAATAAAATTAAAAAAAAATAGAAAGAATAAAAGCTTTAATGCCATACAAACTTGAACATAAAAAAAAAAATAAAATAAAATAAAACCCCTGACACTCACTTACTAAATGCTAAGGATAGTGAGGCTATTAAGTGGCTTAATAAAAAAGATGAGATTTGCTTGTAGAGTTCACAGACTGATGGTGAATACAAGGTGGTTGAACCAACTTCATAAATAATAAGCTAATTCTGATCAGTACAATAAAGAAAAATGGGAGCTATACACTCCTGTAAGTGGAGCGGAGAAGGAAAACTAGTGCTACTGGAAGAGTGCAGACTAGGAAACGTGATAGTGTGGGAGGAACAGGGCCTGGGGACGACGGAACGTGACTGCAATAAAAGAAGTTCACTCATGCTCATGGTAAGGACAGCAGACAGAGAAGGGAATACTTAGGAGGCTATGAGAGTACTCCAAGAAAGAATGTGATGGCTTAGACTACTATATTTGGAGCAGGAATTGGAAAAATGGGAATAATTTTAAGCTATAAAAGCTAATTTTGAGATTAAAATCAATAGAAATAATCTGAAAGTTACATGCCTCTGATATTAGCACGAATCAAAAGAAATGTTTTTATGAGCAGTGAGAAAGAAATGCACAGAAGATATAATATTGGTTTCGGATGCTAAGTAATTGGAGTTAGAAAATCAGGGAAGGACTAAACACAGTGAAACCATTTTGGATAGTACAGAGCTTTAGAAAATATTTCTGTGGAGTATTTCATTTTATTTAGTTAAAATTGACCCATCACATATGATAGTTACATTTCAAAATCACTTAGAAAGTTCCATGACAGAAAACTTTTCTCCTAAATTCTGTAGTCTGTGTAACCACATGGAAGGAGCCAAGTAAACATGTATTGAGACAAAAGCTAAAACAACAGTTCTTTGTTGCAGGAACGGAATTGGAATGAATGCATTGTACCCACTATATATATATATATATACACATATACATACATAAAAATGCATTTTCTACCATATTTTACATCTGATTAGAAGTTTTTCCCATTAATGCAAATTTAATGGGCTATATTTCACATACTAATTACTTTCTGCTATGAAGATAAGGTATGCACAAGCTAAAAAGTAAACACAGATGCCAATAATTTTTAATTACAGTTAAAAGCAACATGTCAAAACAAGATGATAAAAATAACAGTGATAAAACTTAGGGACTAAAACAATTAAAAGTTTTTTTAAAAAATCCATTTGCTGATCTTAATCATAAATCAAGAGCCTAGAAATGTTTGGATAAAAAATAAAAGTTGCTTTTGAAATACAACTTCTATATATTCACCCATACTAAATTATTAATTAATGAACTTTCACATCCAACTTCTTTCATAAAAGATTAATGGAATGAGATTTTGTTTCTTGAGGATGTAAGGCATAATAACAGAATAGTCCTCATTCTCCTATTTATTTTCCCAATCCTCTCCAGTTTATCACTCATCTTCGACATCTATTTACAATACTACAGCCAAAGTAACACTACTGAAATAAAAACTGGATCATCTTATTATATTGCTTAAAATTTTTCAATGGTCTCCTATTTCATTCAGAGTAAGAACCAGTATCTTTATAATACAGTACCTACAAGGATTAAAATAATCCTACACAATTTTCTCTACACCGCCTATGGCAGACACTCTATTCACTATTCAGAACACATGCAAAGCACAGTCCTTCCTCAGAACCTTCTCAATTATTACTGCCTTTATTCAGAACACTCTCCACAGTGTCGCAAAGGCTGCTTCCTCGTCTCCTCCAAATGCTGGCTGAAATTTCCCCTTTCAGTGAACATTCCATAATCATTTTATTTAAACTGCGAAAGTGGTGGTATGGTGGTACATGCCTATAATTCTAATTACTATACTCTGTGAGGCTGAGACAGGAAGATCACAAGTTGTTGCCCAGCCTGGGCAACTTACTGAGACCTTGTCTCAAAGTAAAAAATAAAAAAGAGTTGGGGATCAAAGAGCCTTGCAGATAAATTCTGCATAGGGTTCACCAGTAACTGAGTCCAAGGAGAACGAGGTGCCAATGACTGATCCAAAACATTGGGTTGATACTGTATTTTAAAGATTATATGTGTAGGGAGGGTTAAGTCAGCAGGACTGAATTGATCAAGCCTTGCTTGTCCCCCACAAGGCCAATCTTCAGCAGTGGCTTTTGGTCAGCTCTGATCTCCTAAAATATTCTTAGTCTGTTTTGTGTTGCTGTAACAAAAACAAGAACCCAAAGCTAAGTACTACATGTATTGAAAGGAGGTTTACCTGACTATTTTGGTAGCTGGAAGGTCCAAAGAGCACACCAGGACCCTGGTAAGAGCCCCACTATTTGCATCACAACATGGCAGATAAATGGGTGAGGGTGTGAGGAGCGTGCATGCAAGAGCTGTCACAGGGCGAGTGGAAGCAAGAGCCTAACGCCAAGAAAGCCGAGTTCAAAAACAATGCATCCCCACAGAAACTAAGCCGGTTCCATGAGATCTGATTCAGTCCTGCAAGGCAGCAGCAATCCATTCATAATTACCTTCTACCAGGCCCTGCCTCTTAAAAGTTCTGCTACCTAAACACTGACTCCCTAGAGACCAAGCTTCCAGATCACTCACTCAGGGACAAATCGCAGGGTTCTCTCTGATATGAGTATTTTTGTATGCCTGAGATCTAGGACTATGTGGTATCAGTTTGACAAGACAGTTTATGCTAATGATGGAATGAATGATGAAGCCCATGTGTCTGATTTGGCTGTAAGAACTGGAATCTGAGCAGCTCAGATTGCCTATGTGTCTGACCTCCAATAAAAACTCTGCACACCAGGCTCAGGTAGGCTGCTTTGATTGACAACACTTGAGAAATATTATCACATATAGTTGCTAGAACAATTAAATGTTT